CAGCACTCAGGAGGCAGAAGCAGGTGGATCTCTGTGAGACCAAGGCCAGCGTGGTCTACACAGATCCAGTTCCAGGCCAGCTCTGGCTACTGGGATACAGGGAGACCCTATCTCAAAAAAAAAAAACAAAACAAAGGGGTGGGGGCTGGAGGGATGGCTTAGTAATGAAGAGCACTGGCTGCTCTTGCAGAGGATCTAGGTTTAGTTCCCAGAACCCATATGGTGGTTAACAATCATAAGTAACTCCAGTTCCAGGGTATTCAACACCCTCTTCTGACCTCCTTGGGCATTGCACAACATGAGTGCACTTACATATGTGCAGGCAATATACTCATACACATACAATAAAATGACCCAAAAAAGACCCCCCAAAAAAACAGGGTGCTGGAGAGATGGTTCAGTGGTTGAGAGCACTTACTGCTCCTTCAGAGGATCAGGGCTTGGTTCCCAGCACCCACATAAATTGGCTCACTACTCCCATTATAGTCAGCTCCTGGGGATCTGACACCTTCTTCTGGCTCCTTGGGCAATGAACATATACATACATACACTCAAAGCATATATACATATACAATAAAAATAGCACAGGCTGTCATCCTCTGTAGTTTCTGTGTTAGTTAAACCCATTTTTCCACAGATCTCATATAATAACAGTCAACACAGAAGACTTCTGTGACCTCAAAGGTGTGAGGATTGATCCTTTTCATTGAGCAAGCAAGCAGTGAAAAGCAGAGGGCACTAGCCCGGCATCCTCTAATTGAATTCAATTCTGACCTAGAAAGAGTGCCAGATCCTACAGGTTGCAGGCTCAGTCCCAAGCCTGTTCTCTGTTCTACTTTAGACACCAGTCACCAGACCAGAATGTTTTTACCTGGGTTTCTGACCAACCAACTATATAATAGGTCCCACAACCTCATCCTTGGGTTCAATTTTTTGATTGAGTGGCTCACAGAACTCAGATGAACCCTTCATTAAATTTACAAGTTGCTTATGAAGGTGATTACAAAGGATACAGATGAAGTGATGCCAACTCAAGTGGGTAAAGACGACTCAGTGGGTAAGGCATCTGCCACCAAGCCTGAGACCTGAGTTTGATCCCAAGGATCCACATGGTGGAAGGGCAGAACTGACTCCCACAAATTGTCCTCTAGCCTCCACATTCACTGTAACATACATACACCCACACACATATACCCACACAAAAAATAAATACATAAAAATATAATTTCAAAATTAAAAATAACAAAATGATACAGAGGGTGAGGTGTGGGATAAATGGCAGGGAAAGCGGCACAGGGCTTCTGTGCCCTCACTGATCCAGAAGGCCACCAGAGTGGTCCCAGACAAGTTGAATCCCAAAAGAAATTTAGATAATGGATGCCCAGCATATAACTAATTAGCAAAAGGCTGTTCTACTATAATGGAGGCAGAATGCCCTCATGGACAGAAGCTTCAGCTTTGGAATCAGGTACCTGGTTTCAGTTTCTAGCTCTTTACCTTATTTCTGTGACCCTGGGGATGTTACTTAACTTCTCTGCTCAGTTTCCTTATCTAAACCTAGGGATAGAGATTGGAACAATAGCTCAGTGATTAAGACCACTGGCTTCTCTTGCAGAGGACCAGAGTTCAATTCCCAGCACCCACATGGCAGCTAACAATCTTCTATAACTCCAGTTACAGGGCATCTGATGCCCTCTTCTGGCCTCCACAGGCATTGTACAGCACAGGTATACTTACATACATGCAGGCAAAACACTCATACACATAAGATTAAAAATAATAAAATCGTGGCCGGGCATGGTGGCGCATGCCTTTAATCCCAGCACTCGGGAGGCAGAGGCAGGCGAATCTCTGTGAGTTCAAGGCCAGCATGGTCTACATAGTGAGTCCAGGCCAGCTGGGGCTACAGAGGGAGACCCTGTCTCAAAAAGACCAATAATAATAACAATAATAATAATAATATAATAAAATACAATAAAATAAAATAAAATCTGGGGCTGGAGAGATGGCTCAGTGGTTAAGAACACTGACTGTTCTTGCAGAAGACCTGGGTTTGAATCCCAGCACCCACATGGCAGCTAATTGTCCATAACTCCAGGGATCCGACAGCCTCTTCTGTCCTCTGTGGGAATTATATGACACGGGTACACTTACTTACATGCAGGCATAACACTCATACACATAAAATAAAAACACTAAATAAAATTTAAAAAATAATAATAAAATGTTTTTTAAAAAAGGAAAGAAAAACTAGGGAGAATGTGGGTGTGGGAGTGCATGCCTTTAATCCCAGCTCTTGGAAGGCAGAGGCCAAGAGATCACTGTGAGATCAAGGTCAGCCTGGGATAGTCTACATATCGAGTTCTGGCCAGCTGGGGCTATATAGTGAGACCCTATCTCAAACTATAACAAAATCCTGGTAGTACCTTACATGAAGTCCTGGCTTCAATCCCCAGTGCCAAAGGAGCAACATTAACACCTACTGTGTGGGCTGTGAGAATTAAACACATTTAGAATCTAGGTTAGCTTTGACATATGAACACTGAGTGGTTTTGCCCAGTTTTAACATGCTGTAAGCTCTAAAAGAATGCCATGATTGTGTAAGAGATGGTTGTGCTGGATTCTGTTTGGCCATTAGCAGATTGTTTTGCCATTTCAGAGAATTGCATCACCAGTGTCTTAATTAGCCAGTACATGACCTGGTTCAGTGCACATTTGCAACTATTACATCCATGGAGATTTTTACAAAAGGTGCAAGCTCCTGACATGCACACTATCTTCTGGAAAAGCTACTGCCAAATATAATATACACAAAGGCACATAATTTTATTAGAAAAAAAGAAGGCTTTCTTTATTCTTCAGCTAAGTCACCATATTGACTTTTAATTATAAACCTAATTTTTATTTTATTTATTTAGGTTTTTTTTAAGTATATTAGTTACTTTTCTTTGGGAGGGTTTATTTTGCCTCATGGAGTCAAGGGATGTCCTAGTTACTTTCTATTATTGTGATGAAACACTGACCAAAAGCAACTTGGAGGGAAGGGCTTATTACTCTTCCAAATGACAGTCCTTTGCTGAGGGAAGTCAGAGCAAGAGCTCAGGGCAGGAACTTGGGGGCAGGAACTGAAACAGACCATGAAGGATCACTGCTTTGCTGAATGGTTTGCTTCCCCCTGGCTTGATCAGCTACTTTTCTTATACAACCCAGGCCCACCTGCCCAGGGATGGCACTCCCTACAGTGGGCTAGGCTCTCCTACAGCAATTAATAGTCAAAGAAATGCCCCCACAGACATACCCACAGGCCAGTCTGATAGAGGAAATACTCAATTAAGGTTCTCCATTCCCAGGTGACTCTAGTTTGTGTCACACTGACAAAAACTAACCAGCCCAGGGGATATGGTCCATCATAGCAGGTCCACCAAACAGAGCAGCAGGCAGCCCTGTGTCGGCAGGAGCATGGGGCTGAGACTCCTCACCTCCTCATATCTCAGTGGAACAGGAAGTGGAGGGATCAGACAGGATCCGACAGATCAAGCTCCCCTTCGCCGCCCCCCCCACCAGTAATCCACTTTTATAGCTAGGGCCCACTTCCCCAAACAGGTACAACCTCCTCAAACAGTTGGAGACCAAGTGTTCAAGCACAAGAGCCTGTGAGGGATGTTTCATATTCACATCATAACATGGTCTAGCTATTGTAGCCAGACTGGCCTTGAACTTGCAATACTCATGCCTCTGCCTTTCAAGTACTAGCTAAATTATTTTAAAAGGGCAAATGTAGGGGCCAGTGAGGTGGCTCAGTGGGTAAAAATGCTCACCCAGCAAGCTCAACAACCTGAGTTTCACCCCCAAACCCATGATAAAAGGAGAAAATCTACTCCAAAATTTGTCCTCCGACATCCACATGCACACCACACCACATGCATGCATATAAATAAATAAATAAATAAATAAATAAATAAATAAATAAAAATAAATAAACACTCTAAAGCTGGTCATGGTGATACATACCTGCAACTCCAGCACTAGGGAGTTGGGGATAAGAGGATCAGGAGGGTTAAGAGATTGAGTCCAATTGAGTTTATATATTAATACTTGACAGAAAGAGCAAAAGGACGGAGAGGAAAGGAAGGAGGAAGAGAAAGAAAGATAACTTTAAAATTATTCATGTGAGGAAGGAGATCAGTGGGAAAGGGGGGCTGGGGTAAGAGAGAGTAATGGAGGCAAGTATGATCAAGATATATCACATACATGTAAAAAATGCCATGACAAAACCATTATTATGTATAGTTAATACATCCTGATAAAAAATTTCAAAATATTACACAAGTGCTAATTATCTACAACTTTCACTTCAAAAGAGAATAGGATTTTTAATATATTTGTTATAAAAAGAAGTCGCAGAGCCAGGTGTGACAGCATGGAAGCCAGAAGAGGGAGTCAGATCCCCCAGAACTAGAGTTTCAGATGGTTGTTAGCTGCCTGGGGAAATGAATGCAGGTTTTCTTCTTCATGAGCACCTAGTGCTCTTAATTCCTGAGCCATTTCTCTAGCCCCTGGACTCAGTCATTTTTAACGAGTAGAAATTTATTGCCTCACGATTTAGGATCTTCTATGTCATCACGTGATGGAAGGTGGAAGGTCCTCATATAACAAAAGAGAAAAAAGAACCCACTTCTGCAAGCCCTCCTTATAGTAGCTGTGTTAATCAGCTTTCCATCACTGCAACAAAATACCTGAAACAATCAACATAAAAAGAAGAAAGATTTATTTTGGCTTATGACTTCAAGGTTTTGGTCCATGGTCAGCTGGCCCCATCACTTTGAGACTTCAGTAAGGCAGTACATTATGACAGGAGCACATCACAGAGGAAACTGTTTGCTCCATGGAAGACAGAAAGCAAGAGAGAGGAAGTAAACAGTGTCCCACAATCACCTTAGAGGGCAGATACTAAATGCTTAGGATGTCCCACTAAGCACACCCTCTTTTTTTTCCCCTCACATCAGACGGATAATGTGCTGGTGCAGTGTGTAAAAAGGTTCGAGGGTGGCACGTTATGCATGCGCGTGAACACCCAATTGTCACACTTATGAATCACAAAAGGATCTAGCACACCCTATTAAAGACGTTCAAGGTGTCCATGCAGTGCCAAGCTGAGCACTTTAACTCATGGACTTTTGGGGTACATTTTTTTGTTTTTATTAATTTTTTATATGTATGAGTGTTCTGCCTGCATGTAAGTGCGCCACATGTGTGCAATGCTGGAAGAGGCCAAAAGAGGGCATTGAATTCCCTGGAACTGGAGTTACAGATATCTGTTAACTGCCATGTGGGTGCTGGGAATTGAACCCAGGTCCTCTGCAAAAGCAGCCACTGCTCTTAACCACTGAGCTCCTAGGGTACATTTTAAATCTAAACTATATCAGTGACTAATCCATTCATGACCTATGTAACTCCCATTAGGCAACCTTGGAGATTAAGTTCCCAACACATAAGTTTTGGAGGGGACAAAGTCTCGTAAGTCTTAGTACTGGGCTTTGAACAAGGAGTCTTGAGTACAGTGCTTCCTGGTTTCCTTGCCAGTAAGAATCACTCAGGGGAATTTGTTCAATCTATGCTTTCCAGTCCATAAGCCTGATATCTGATTTAGTGTGACTACACTAGGATTCAAGAATCTGTCCTGTTGAAGAATCCCTGGGTGATCTTTATCATCAGGTAGTTGGAGAAACACTAGATGTTGATTCTACAATGCTTAAAATTTTTTCAAGTGCTTGGGAAGTCTATACTTCAGGAATCCTAATGTGACTACTTTGTAGAGATAAGAAGTTTGGAGTTGGCAAGATGGATCAGCAGGTAAAGGAACAGGCTTGCAAGCCTGACTACCTGAATTTGATCCTCAGGGCCCATATGGTGGAAGGAGAAAAGCAACATCCAGTTGTCCTCTAACCTCCAGAACACACACGTGCACACACGCACATACACAAATACATGTATAATTCTCTAAAAATGTTTCTAAGTAATAACATGCTTTCATGACAACACATTAAAATTATCAAAAAAATAGTCTTGCCCCTGACAATAATGTTGGTGAGTGTTGGTGGCTCTCCTCAGTATTGTTTTTCTTCAAAACCAGCATTGGTAATATATTTTGCTCATGATCTAGACTAATACAGAGGAGTATCTTCTTTGTGCAATTCAGTGAAGAGCCTGGCTTAGTGGTGAGGAACTGCAGTGTTACCATGACAACATTACAGTTATCCCTGAATAAATAGCCTGACTCTTAACTTTAGTTTCAAGAGTCAGCCTGAACTCAGAGGGCACTGTTCTTGCAGATGTCTCCTGGAACTGTGCTGTCAAGCCAGACCTCACCCATACTTTTATTCAAATCTGTTCCTCCAGCTTCAAATGGGAAACTACAAGCTTGGATCTTTATCAGACAATCTTGCCTTTTCATTCCTAGGCCTAAAATATTTCATATATACAATTTCACGCATTTTTCTCAATCTTCATTGCTTTCAATAAAGATACTAATATGAATGTTCTGCCTTTCAGAACTTCAGTTTGCTAATTCTCAAGCATACCCACATTCACTCACTATCTTGGGTGGAGAAGAAATTGAGTCAGGTGCCCAGGACACAAGTGCACATGGTTCAGTGAGTTTGTTTGATGTAACTTTTTTGATTCAAGGTTAACAAAAAATCATTAGTCCTGCATTTTTGTAAAAGTCATTCCTACAAACACATAAGCAAAGAAATGCCCGAAGATGGCTGTAGGGGACACAAGGCAGACTAAAGCCATTCCCCAGGCAAAGGGTATGATTAGCTTTAATTGAAATTACAGTTTGATTGAGTAACAAGAGTATGCTGGTTAGTTTTTGTTCAACTTGTTACAAATTAGAGACACCTGTTAGAAGGAACCTCAGCTGAGGAATTTTTTATATCAGATTGGCCTGTGGCCATGCTTGTGATGTATTTTAATTGGTAAGTGATATGGGAGGGCCCAGCCCACTGTAGGTGGTACCATTCCTGGGCAGGTGGGCCTGGACTGTATAAAAAAGTAGCTGAGCAAGCCAGTAAAGAGGTGTAGTCCTCCATGGTCTCTGTTTCAGTTTCTGCCTCCGGGCCCCTTCCTCTGGATGAACTGTTAACTGGAAGTATAAGATGATATAAACCCTTTTCTCCTCAAGTTGTTTTGGTTAGATTGTTTAATCACAGCAACAGAAAGCAAGCTAGAACAAGTGACATAGGCAAGGGTTTAGAACTCAGGACTAGAGATGCAGCTGCCTTGAAAGGACATATTGCCACTAAAGAAGGGATCTCTCAAGTAGTACAAACTAGAGGTATTACTTTTACTACCCAGACTGTGCCTCCTGCAGAGACCTACCTGACATAGGGGTGGGGGGGGCAGGGGGTTGTGAGCTCATTTTGCAATCGATTATTAAAAGATGTTTTCGGGGCTGGAGAGATGGCTCAGTGGTTAAGGGCACTGATTGCTCTTGCAGAGAACCTGGGTTTGATACCCAGCACCCACGTGGTGGCTACAAAGCGTCCTTAACTCCAGTTTCAGGGGAATCCAAACACCTCTTCTGACCTCCAAAGCATGCACAACACGGGGGCACTCACACACATGCAGGCAATACACTCATACACATAAAATAAAAATAATTTAAAAAATTTTTTAAAAAGATGTTTGCACTTCTTTCCCTTTTCCATTGTTTCTTTAGACAGGCTCTCATGTCACCCAGGCTGACCTCAAGTTCCCTGCCATCTGAAGATGTCCTTAAATTCCTGATCCTCCAGCCCTCACCTCCCAAGTGCTGGGATTACAAACCTGTACCATCAAACATGCCTCTTTCTTGATTTTGTGGCACTGGGGGAGGGAACCTACATACTCTAAAAAACAGCTTCTTTTCCTAGGATTATTAACATAAAAGAAAAGAAGGTCGCTCTATCTAAGTTCATTTTGTAAAGTTGGGAGCATATTATTTATATTAATCATTAACAATCCGTGTGACAAAAAGAAACTGGCTTTGGGCTAGAAATCAAGCAATGTACCTGAATGAGCACCACCACACGGAGCTGTGTGGTCTTAAGCAAGTCAGTTACACTGATAGACCTGTGTCTTTCACAGAGGAATGCAAATCAGGTGATACCTTATTTCACCAATTCTAAAATGCACTGTTTTCAAATTTTACTGTTTCTGATCTTGGGATGCATCTGCTAATCAATGGTACATTGCAATTATTATTGGCAGAGTTTTCTTCTTGGTTGCTTTTGGAATCTGCAGCACATTACAGTCAACAGTGAACCTAGCTTTCTAGGCAGCTACATGATGATGCCTAGCATTTGCGCATTGATGTAATACTCTCTACTCCTCTAAATATATTCTAACTTTTTATTCCTACAGGACTCCAGCTTGGCAATGGTTTTTCAGAAGGGAGGTCATCTAAGCTCTCTCTCCCCCGTTGTTGCGAGTCATGTTTCACTATGTATCTCAGATTAGTGTTAAATTCAGTATGTAACCCCGACTATCCTTGAATTTGTGATTCTCTTCCCTAAGCCTCCTGAGTGCTGAGCTTACAAACATGAACCAGTATACCCTGGTCTGAGTTGATTTTTTAAAATATTTTATTTATTATTTTTATTTTATGTGTATGAGTGTATTGCCTGCATGTATGTAAGTGCACCCGTGTCACGTAATACCCACAGAGGTCAGAAGTGGGTATCAGATCCCCTGGAACTGGAGTTATGAATAGTTGTTAGCTGCCATGTGGATGCTAATTGAACCCAGGTCCTCTGCAAGAGCAACCAGTGCTCTTAACCACTGAGCCATCTCTCCAGCCCCCAAACCCACAAATTAGATTCTTGCAATGTCATTGAGGTAGACATTTCTACTCATTTTCTCCTCTCAACCAGACTCCATTGTCTCTATCCTGTTCTGTACTGGAAAGGTGGCTGTCTGAGTTACATGGATTTCTTGCTAAGATTTGGCATATCAGTGAGCAGGAAGAGAGGGAGCTCACTGTACTCAGGGACCTTCCTTCAGCTCCCTCATGGGCAACCTTGTTCTATCCTCTCCATCCAGCACTTTCTCAACTTTTAGGGCCTATTCTTTTCCTTATGCTATAATCAAATTACTTTAGGTGAATGCACTTTCTCTTTGCTTTCAGGATGGTCACTGGCTGAGTGGAACAGAAGCAGAAATGGAAGAATGAAATTAGGTTGCTCAGGTATGTGAGGAGCAGAGGCAGCTCCACTTGGCTCAGGGAACAGAGGCACCAAGAGAAGCTGGCGTGTGATGGCATCAATTTCTCACGCTGTGGCGGCTGAGGGCATGAGAAGTAAATGGGCAGAATAAGGCATTACACTTGGATAACCAAGTGGCCATCCAACTAAGGAAAGTTGCTACTCAGAAACCTTCAGTGGCCATTTGGCTAAGTCCCTTGTTTCCTGTAAAGTCATGGGGGGAGGGGTGAACAGGTGAGGACCAGCCCCCAGGGCACAATGGTAAGGGCTTCAGAGTTTCAGCACCAATGAAAGATCACAGTGTTTGAACTTACCACACAGGTAGGAAAAGGACCCTCAGCTCTGAAGTGTCTGATCCCTTCCACACTCCCTGGCCAGCAGTCCCAAGGAGCCAGCCTTCTATCCAGTGGGCCTCTCCATCCAGCATTCTTTCAGTGCTGTGGCTGCCTCATGAGCTGATGCTCTTCTGGAGACCCAGATCACCACATGCATAACCCATACTTTCTGGAAGCACTGTGCATGGGGTAAACATTTGGAGCCAACAGAAACTGCATTTAGACATACTGCTCTGACCACTTACTGGGAAACCCATAAGGCTACCAGTTTTTACTATGAATTAGATTAAGAAAAGGCAATGAGGCAAATACAGGTTCTGATCCGAGCAGCTCTACCACTAGGTTTTATGAGCTGAGTAGAAAGCAGACATGTGTACTGTCCTCTGGCAAGCACCAGAAGCAAAACCAAGCACAAAACCGGTAAGGTTAGAATCAGACAATGTCACCTCTGCCAGCGGCTATTCATCCACCTGAGGATCCATTCCTGAGAGGCTTCTAGGCCCTAGTAGAGAATGAACCACTAAAT